ATTTCATGCGCACAGGGGAAATGTCACAATAAACTCGGCGCATCACAGTGGTTAATGGTGGAACCCCAACAAGTAAGAAAATGAATATAGGAAAAGATGACAGCAGTAGAAGGAATCTGTACCATGTGTGGGAAAGCAAATACAAAATCAGAGAAAAAGATTAAAAGTAGTAACACTTCTATCACTAACACTGGAAGTTCACATAAGCAGGATACATCAGCAACTTTGGAAAAGGAGTAAATATACGAACAGTGTTTAGAAATTGATAGGACACTTTATAAATACAGCACTGGTATTGTAGAAAGTCAATATTTGATAAATACAGTGTTCTCTCAAAAATCTGGAACTCCATATAATGAATCCCTCAATTCAATAATTAAAATTTGCCTACCACCAAATTCTGGAGGGAATGCAGTGAAATTTGGATCATTAGACAATATAATTTGTTGTAGATTATATTTTCCAAATTTCTTATATTCTACTATACCACAAATTAAATTCTGATAATGGTTACGAAACCATATATCCTAAACCACTTCCTGGAAAAGGTTCCAAAGACATTTCATAAAAATATGGTTTATAAATGTCAGAAAATCTTAGTGCAAAGAAACAGTTTGGAGTGTGGATATGTTAATAGGGCCCATCTTGACAGAAATCTTGTGATTGATTTTCATCTTGGGAGTGGAGAGATTTGATAAGCTTTGTTCAGTGGAAGTCTGAATGACTCAGTGGAGGTGCTAAAAAGATTATGAAACCATATCTCCTTAATTACTGGCAAGGGTTCCTAAGATACTTCATAAGACAATCTTGAGCTAAAGAAAGAGGGGGGTCATGGCCCTACTCTTGACAAGTAAGCTTTAGATGTTGGATGCTGGAAAATACTGCAGATGAGGGTGAGATATCTTTAGAGTTAGCTTCTCCTGATGGATGTCCATTATATAATGGGTTGAAAGCAAAGTTTTATATAGTGAAATCCACCCATAGATTACAGGAAAAATTAAGGTATGAACAGTAAGTAAATATTGTTTTGATTGCAACAACTTTATCCATCAACCCAACATTATAAACAATAATTAGGGAGAGTAGATGTCCATCAAATGATAAGGTGAAAGTAAAATTTCGGTTAGTGATCAATTTCAATTGATCCATTAGAGCATGGGAAAAATTTGGGAATGAATGCCAACTTCTTTAGTATTGCTAAAAAAAAAAAAAAAAAAAAAAAAAAAAAAAAAAAAAAAAAAAAACTGTGGTTGAGCACAACACTAGGAAAATACCTGTAGTTGGTGCCTGGGGAAAGCCAATGGGCATATTTAAAGCAAAATGCTATGGTTTATTTTCATTTTGAATTTTACATAAATAATACAAAATTTGGTGATGACTAATCACAAAAGTACAATTTACAAAAATCCAGATTAGGTCTGGATTTTTCTTTTTAGGGAGACTGCAACAGAATATGCAACCTGGCAAGATAGTTGCCCATTTTCAAGCACAATGAAACTTCAAAAAGTTATAAGGTTAGCGACATGATTAATACCTGAAGAACTCAAAATAGTAACCCTTGAAGAGAGAAGAAAATAAATATTATCATAACATACAAAATTTGAAAGGCATGAAAAAGCTAGATGATGACAGGCAGGCAGGCTTTAAATTGAGGAAAAATAAGAAAAGACAGTATCTACAAAGGTTGGAAATGCAATCGAGTTATAGAAGTGTAAGGAAGAAATACTCAGAAAGGGTGGTCAACAAGTACAGTCTTTAATCCACAACTTCAATATCAAAAACAACAAAGTGGACATCTAGACTTAAAAACATATTAAATCTTTTGCGTTCGGATGAAAATGTGTCACCCACACTCTGACAGTAAACCTTCCGGTAAAGCTAAAACACATCATCCGATGACATTCATAAATATTCATATTCCATTGCTGTCATGCATAATCTATTATAAACACACTTTTGCTTTTGCATCTATTCTCCAGAGAATTTAATTGTGAACATTTTGACACCAAATTTATAGTTATACCCCAACAAATAACTTAGAAAACAAAACATTGTAAATATTTTTCACATCGCTGCGTAGTCAATGGCCCAGGGAGCCCAGAATGTTTAGAGTCAAAAAAAACCAAAGAGGCTGGCCCACCAAAGTTCCAGTTCTGGAAACTGGAATGTATAGGAGGAGTGACGGGAAGGCTTCTAACATGGACAAAAAATTTTGACAGAAAAATGAGGGCAGTAATCACTCTAGAAATGTCACAAGTGGAGTTCCACAAGGTTCAATTTTTGCACCGGTAATGTTCATTGCCTATATAAATGACCTACCAGATGGAATACAAAATTATATGAACATGTTTGCTGATGATGCTAAGATACTAGGGAAGATAAGAAACTTAGATGATTGTCATGCCCTTCAAGAAGACCTGGACAAAATAAGTGTATGGAACTCCACTTGGCAAATGGAATTTAATGTGAATAGATGCCATGTTATGGAATATGGAATAGGAGAACATAGACCACACACAACCTACAAATTATGTGAAAAAAAAATCTGATACAGAAAGAGATCTAGGGGTGGTGATAGATAGAACACTATCATCTGAGGACCACATAAAACATTGTGCGAGGAACCTATGCTGCGCTTTCCAATTTCAAAATTGCTTTTAACCCTTAAACTGCACATGAGACATGTCTGAGACATGTCTGAGTACTTAAACTGAGACATGAGTAACATGTCTCACCATGCACATGGCATATATATACACAATAGGGTGCCAGGCACGATTCAAATGGCCCACAGCTACACAGCGTTTACATCAGCGTCCTCAGGGCTCTTGTAAACAGATTCCATGTTAAAAAAAAAATCGTGGGCAACATTCTCCGGTGTGAGAGCCACAGTACTATGGGAACAACCAAGGCTGGCACACACAGCATGAGCTAACAGCATTGCTGTTCAGCTTGTGACCACAGCTTTGCCTAAAAATGTCAAAATAAATATGAAACTGCTATTATTTAGCAATGACAGTATTACAGATGACTCCTGTCTGTGATAACAGTGACCAGGATTGTTGTGATAATTATCACTGTGTGGGAGTAGTAATGCTGAGGGCGGGAGGGAGACTGTGTGCTCACCTGTTATTGCCCGCATTCACCATACCAGCTCATTGGTTCTCTCTATAATGTTTGTATATAGTGAATAAAAGCAAAAACAATATGGTGGGAGGAAAATGTGAGTTAGTGAGGTGTTGTTGAGGGAGGAGTGGCAGCGAGTGGCTGACTGGTGGGTGGCGGCCACTCTTTGTTGCTTTTTGACTCACAATACCAACTTAGTGGTTCGTTACGGTGAACAAAACATGCAGATACTTATATATAACCTGTGTATATAGTGTAATAACAGCAAAACTATTCGTTTATTGTTTTATGAACATAATATTGGCATCGTTAATATGCACACCATACTTTTGAGTATAGCGATGATTCACCTCTTTTATTATATAAATATATCACACTACACACTATTGAATAATATTACTGCAAAAAAATGTAGAAAAAATCAATCAAAGATACTGAAATAATTAGATAATATCATCTTTGTGGCAATTCCCACCTGTCAGCTCAGGTGATGCTGACCGCCTCTGACGACTGCTCTGTCAACGGCCACATTTTGCCAGACTTCCTCGGCCTATTGCGCCCGAAATATGTCACCTACGATTTTTTTTCCCCGTGCTCAGGGAACACAAATTAACATTTCTAGAAGATGAAATAATTTTTTAGAATATTTTTTTTCTTGCGCACAGGGGTGTAAATCTCCTCAGGACCCCTTAGCAGCTTAAGGGTTAAGTACATGGATGGTGAAATACTAAAGAAATTGTTCCCAACCTTTGTTAGGTCAAAGCTGGAATATGCAGCAGTTGTATGGTGCCCATATCTTATGAAGCACATCAACAAACTGGAAAAGGTGCAAAGACATGCAACTAAATGGCTCCCAGAACTGAAGGACAAGATCTACGAGGAGAGGTTAGAGGCATTAAATTATGCCAAAACTAGAAGATGGAAGAAAAAAAGCGACATGATCACTACGTACAAAATAGTAATGGGAATTGATAAATTGATAGGGAAGAATTCCCTGACCCGGAACTTCAGGTCATAGATTTAAACTAACTAAGCAAAGCTGCCGAAAGAAAATTCACTTTCGCAAACAGAGTGGTAGACGGTTGGAACAAGTTAGAAGGTGGTGGAGGCAAAATCCGTCAGTAGCTTCAAAGGGACACAACGAGCGCCTCTCTCATTCTGTAACTACACTTACGCAATTACCAAAGTGCTAATTACAAATCTTCCTAGGAAGAGAGGTATAGAACACTAAAGCTTTTTTCTTATCGGGAGTAATTTGGCAATACAGTTCATGCACCCAAATAAATAAAAAAATAAAAGGTAATACATTAATAAAACATTCATAGCCCTGTTCAAAATCTTCACGTGTAAAAATTAGTACAGTATTTCAAAAACACTAAAGAGCAGGAAAGGATTTTGAAATACTGGACTGAACTAATAATAATTAGCAAACAAATTAATGTAACAACATATACAATCATTCATGTGGCTTATTTATTATATCAGCACTCCATCCTGATAATATTAGACAAACTCACATTAAAATAAACCGAGGGGAAAAAACAACTCTCATGCAATGAAATTGTCTTCAGTATACCCAATGTTAAGCGTTATCCTGAAAAAAAAAGCAACATTGTATAAAGAAAAGTGTATTCATGGAGAGCCAAAAACTGCTGCTAGATAACTGAAGCAGTCCTCCTTAACTTTGAAATCGATCAAATTGAAGATCAAATGAAAAACGAAGCTTTCGAAAAAAGGGGGTCGCTCCCGAAGAAATGGCCAAGACGTCTTCTTGCATCAGTACATTTTCCCTGGCATAGCGAAACAAATTATGCCGTTGTCCACGAAACATTAAAATCCTTAAAAAATAAACCATGAGCGTATATCAATCTCACCTGCAGCAGTCTCTCGCTTCTGCTCAATCTGGTCATCCACCAGCACGCTCTGTCGTTCCTTCAAGTACTTGATCAACTTGTCCAAGTCACCCATGGAGAGGGGACGCATCTCGAGTAAATCATGCAGCAAATTGCGAATATCTCGAGGGACAACCTCACGAATATTCCGTTGCCGAGCTTTCTTGACATACTCTCCAAAATTTTGTTCAATTAAACGCAAAGCATCGTCAACCGGCATGTTGCGGTGTTCTGTACAAAATGAAAGAATTCATTATGCAAAGAATCGTACCTGTCCTTTATTGGATGGAAGATTTTCCACAACTAAAAGAATAAAAAAAGCATTTCCTGAAAAAGTACAAACCATTAACAGACAACAGATTTGAACCACATTAATCTGACAACAAATACCTGAAAAATAAAATGGGCTTATACTGTTCAACAGAGGCAGGAGAGGGTAGAGAGATTAAGGGAAGGAAGTAGGGCTAGGAAGTGGGGCAAGGAGTGAGGGAGGAAGGAAGAGGGAAGAAGAAGGAAGGAGAGGGGTACTGTTACTGGGAAGGCAACACATCACTATAATTTTTCAGTGAAATTCCTCAGTTTCTTTCATAATTAACTTCTGCAAATTTTTTTAACTATTCTAGCATCTTCGCTGATGAACGTCACCTGTCATCATCTTCCCATCTTACCTTCATCGCCAAGACTCAGGGCTGAGATTCATCAAACACTTAAGTGTGTACATATGAGGCTCTACATCCTTCCTCCCATCACGGCAGATTTTGTTTATATTAATGATACAATTTATGAGCTCCAAAGTACAGTATTACAAAACTGTCTATAACAATAATAGCCTTGGGTTGCAAATTTTCCAAGTTTGTAAATTGTTCTAAGAACAGCGTCTATATACGGCTACTTAAGTACAATACCCATAATTTGTTCTTCAAATTTCATTTACAACTTATGGTAATGTTTCCCTCTAGGCATTTATTTTCTCGGGATTATTAAATTAAGCAACATTTCCCTGCCAGTCATGTTCCTGGAAGCCTTTCTGAAATACAGCTGGTATCACAATACCGTGAAGTCTCAGGAGACTTCATACAATAACAGATGCCTTGATGAAGCGGAAAGAATTTTCTGCCAGGCAAACTTTGATATAATAGAATGTGGTGATAATTTTACCCAGACACCTTAATATTCCAAACAAAATCCGTTGAGGCATACCCAAAATTTAATGCTTGTTATCGTTTTAACAATTATAATGTAAAGTAATAAATATTAATAATACAAGTGTTTGTTTTCTAACACTGTACTATATTACTATACTGAATACTGAGTGATCCAAGCAAGGATCACATGCATTTGCATCCTGTACTTGTACTCTTGTTACAAGTGCAGTGTAACTTCTTTTCTGCAAGTATGCATGCCCAGGCCATATTCACTGGCCATCTGTGCTCAATCGGTGGTGACCTCTTGTTATTCAAGGATTTTAATTTTGGACGTCACCTACGTCCCTAAGGAACATCCGCAGAGTTATTTGTGGACGTCATCTCCGTCCCTAAGGAACGAAAGTGTTAAACTACCAGTATGGCTCCTGCTGTTTCCCAACCATCTTCCAGAGTCTTCGTGAACTTCTCCACACCTACAGAATTTCCTTTTCTCCACCGCATTATTATTTCAGCACTAACCTCATCAATACCAAATCTTGCAACATTTCAACATCTTCACTGTTGTACTAACCTCCTCCATAGACACAGCATAACCTACGAACTTTATAATGAAAACACTAGTGCTCATTTTCCTATCGAAGCACCCCCTCCAAAAATCAGATACATATTCTGGATTTGTTAAAGTTTGTGATGAACTCCAGGAGTCAATAGTCATCATTTGCCACTGGAACCTGTGGCGATCTTGTGTCATATCGGAATAAATAAAAATCTTAAAAGTATTATTTCCTTCCAGGGCCTTAGTAAACAGATGTGCACATGTCTGGCACACCACCTTCCAGCCAGCAAACACAGTGCAACCAAACTAGGGACCACTGATACAATGCAAATTTGCATGGACTTTGAAGGACCTGGAAAATCTTAATGATGATGAATATATTACAAGTAGTTCACTTAAATATTAACCCTCAGAATATGAAATAAGCTGCTCAAACAGCAAGGGAAGTAGTGAGTGTGTGGGGGTGTCTACTGATAACAACATGATATTGACACCACAATATTTCATTCTGCTGAACATGTGGTAATAGTGACTGTGATGTTCATGGTGGTTTCACATGCTAGCGGTAGTGTGAGTACGAGTATTCGTGGTGTATATGCTATAGCTACCTACATCAATGCTCAAGGTGTAGAGAACTGCCAGTGTTGCTAAATGGACCAAATTTATTGTGCATCATGGTTCTAAACCTGATATAAATACAGTAGTGTAATTGTGATTTAAGGGATTGTGGTCACAGTGGTGGGAGTATATCTTGAGGTTATCTTGAGATGATTTCGGGGCTTTAGTGTCCCCGCGGCCCGGTCCTCGACCAGGCCTCCACCCCAAGGAAGCAGCCCATGACAGCTGACAAACACCCAGGTACCTATTTTACTGCTAGGTAACAGGGGCATAGAGTGAAAGAAACTCTGCCCATTGTTTCTCGCCGGCGCCCGGGATCGAACCCGGGACCACAGGATCACAAGTCCAGTGTGCTGTCCGTTTGGCCGACTGGCTCCCATAAGTAGGTACAAAATTTTTTATATTTTCCACCGGTTTAATGTCACCATTCTGAATGCATATAAAACAGAGGCTACAGAATATTAGGGTGAAAACAACAATATGCAAATTTACTTTGGAACCTATTGTGCAGTTATTAGCAATAGAATGATATTGAATGATAGAATGATATAATGATATGATAGAATGTTATATGATAGATATGATCATGATAGATATGATGAATATGATAGAATGATATAATTGCAAAATAGCTGAACCAACATGGTTTCTGCTTGGCTGGGCAGACCCTTCAAGGCCCAACACATGTAGGCCTATTGTACATAAGCCATATCTATTTAGCCATCTCTGACAAGGAGTGTTTATGGCACTATATTGACTATATGCCACCTGTTGCAGTGTGAGCCAGGTCCAATATAATGCTTTGCATACAAGACAAAACAAGAGTGGGAACAAACATGACACAGTTTAAGGATAGTGTGGGGCGTTGTGCTCTGCACCATTGCTTGCTATAAATAAATACCGGATGTGCATATAGCAATACTGTATGCGTATGTCTGTACATAAGCATGTTTCACATTTCTGTACATGAAACATTAAAATTGCTAGTAACATCCTGATTTATGGTAAAAGTACAGGTAAATAAATTTACCTTTTATTCAGAAAAAATATGGTAAGTTACCATTCAAATAAGCACTTCACAATAGTATAATAATTATCATAACCTCCTGATTGTGGAGAGTCTGGCCAGACAAGGAAATAAATTAACACACTGAGCGGCCCGGCGAGTGCACCCCAGCCCGCCCCAAGGTGGGTGGAGCGTTTCCCGTGAGCGCATGCCCACACTAAACTGTGCATACGTTTTACAGTTTTCTCAGGTCAGTTTTCATGTTACATTTTTCATTTTTCTATCAAAATGTTCGCAATAGAATTCTCTAAATGAATATATGCATATAAAGTCAAAAAGCCCAGTGTGCCTCCAGCAGGACACCCCAAAATTGGCTAGGCATTACCAGTGAGAAAGCACCAATCTGCATACCAACAATACCTGCACTAAAATGTATATACTCCTTTCAGTTTTTTCACTGCAATTTTCGTGTTACATTGTTCATTTTGCTATCAAATTGTTCGCAATTTGCAAACAAATGTAGCCTTCTCGAAATATGCATTCTCTATAATTAGAGAATAATACAATTCTCTAAAGGGATATATGCATGTGCAGGCAATGAGTCACAATAACGTGGCTAAAGTAAGTTGACCAGACCACACACTAGAAGGTGAAGGGACAACGACGTTTTGGTCCGTCCTGGACCACTCTCAAATCGGATATATGCATATAAGGTCAAAAAGCCCGGTGTGCCACCCACAGCAAACCCGAAAATTGGCCGAGCGTTACCCGTAAGCATGCAATCACTAACATGTGTATACTCTTTTCAGTTTTCTAATGTAAATTTTTGTGCTAGTGTATGTCGTTCATTCTGATATCAAATGGTTCACAATCTAAAGGCGCGCATTTTAAAACTAGTCCCATAATAATTGGAAATCAAATGGAATTTTAACAAATATTTTAATATTGGACGCAACATGCATCCCTGCTGGACATCCAAAGTGTTATTTATGGACGCAATTTCCGTCCCCGCCAGACAAAAGTGTTAATAAATTAAGCACAATCCTGGCCAAAGGACCCGGGAAATATTTAAGTCGCATCTGATCGCCATAGCATTTCTAAAGAATGGAATGGATACCTTTCAGATTTAAATTCTAATTAAATTTTTACCAAGATATTTACAAAATTCAAAAATATGAGAGCTGTTGTCAAGAAATGCTTTCTCAGCCCACAAATATGAAATATGGTGGCAATGATGCTTTACTGCCATACCATCACGGCAATGATGATGCAATAACTTTACTACTTACAGCTGTAAGTATTCCCACATTAATGTACGAGTACAGTACATGTAGCTAAGTAAGCAAACTCGTGAGTGCACTCTAATTACCGTATTACTACATTATAATTAATACTATTACCGAATATGATACTTCATTTTCCGTCCGTTTCACAGGAAAAAGGTCGAGTTATTTTCCATTTAAAAGGTGGTGTGACGCAAGTGGTTTACTCATGTGGCCATACCTTGAGGAGTGCCATGAAGAATGTTGAGTGTTAGGGAGCGGTGGCTCTCGTTATCTCCTGTAACAAAGATGGCATAAAGACATCTTCTTTGGCTCAGGTCCGCCAACACCTGTGATGGAGCAATGTCCGGAGGAGGAAATAACAGGTCCACAATCAAATTTAATGCCTTCAATTGTGCTTCAATGCTCTCTGCATAATCCCTGTAACATGGAAAAATGATAAATGTCAGTAAATTTTCTATTCAGACCATTTTTCCTTAACTATTATTCACTTTATATTAACCTTCTACAACGCTAATTTATACGGAGAAGAATTAAGAAAAATTTTCATATTATACAGATACAAGTAACTACTTTGCCCCAATGAGCAATCATGCATCTTAACTAATATTATCAACTGGTCATACATCTGGATTGTTTAAGTGTGGTGCCATATGTCTCAACCAGATATGGTTTAAAGTGCCTACAGAGAATTGCTGCAGTATAACTTCTTTCCACCAGTTACATTTACTCTAAGATAGAGACAGGAAAGACAAGGATCCCCCTAATTGCCACATAAAAACTTCACAACAAGTCTTTACCTAGTTTGTCTACTCAAAATATAAATGCAAACTGCCTATGCATGATGAAAGGAATTATTCAAGTGAAAAAATGAAAACAGCACGTCAAAAAAGTGGTGAAAACGGCTAGCAAAAAAGTGACAATAACAATGAAAACGGCAAGTAAAACAAGTGACAATAACAAAGAATGTCTTATCAAAACTATAAGTGAATTCACCTAAGCCACATCTGGATATCCTCCGAGAAACAATATTTTTGTTTAATTTAGAAAATGAGTTCATAAAAAATACAAAGAATACAGTAGACACTGGCTAAAAATACAAGGTTATATTCCTGGACCAAACACATTTTGCCAACATTAAATTATATTAGAATAAGTGTGTAAAAAAAAATTACACTTATTCCAGAGACCCCAGCATGCATACAAGAGATATAATATACTTTATACAACCATTTACATTATTGGCTTGTAAGTAAAAATGATCATGATTTGACATATTGAAGAAAAAAAGGACAAAATTATTAAAAATGAGTAAATAATCTTTGTTTACATAGTACTGTATAGCTTATAACTGTGCACCATCATACATGCATAGACGTAATGGACAATCAGATAGTCAAATTTGGTACTATTTACTTTATAGTCCCAAAAAATAGTTATAAATCTAACTTAAATATTCCTAAGCCTAGTATAGCACATGTATGTACTATATTAGGCCTCAGAAAGCATGTAATAGGCCTAGGACGGATAAGTTAGGTTAAGTTTTCTTTGCAACATCAGTACAAAAACTTTTCTGGTTTGTCCAAATTCAATAGTACCAATTTCTACTGTCTCACTGTCTTTTACATCAACATATGAATGATGGTCCTCATCATTACTATAAGCCTTTATAGAGTCCTCAAAAAATAGTTAAAGACCCTAACTTAAATATTCCATATCTAAACAGGAGGAGGAGGACGAGGAGGAGTTCCCCCATTTATATCTTTCACATCAAAGCGTCTCAAGTGTGACGGACATGTGTTCACAATGTTTAGGGTTGGCTTAAGTGTCTGTTAACTATAATGATTCCTTGGTAAACCCATTATTGGATTACAATAATTAAACAAAATAAAAGTGAGAGAAAAAGACGAAGATTTTCAGGAAGAGAGAGAACCATATGAGTTACACCAAACTTGAAACAAAATTGCAAATTACAATTTCTTGTAATTAAAAAAATAAATAAATAGCCATATTTTCACATTAGACAACTATAGCCTACATGGTTGAAATCTATCAGAGTATAAGTTAGTGATCAAGCTATGTTAACTAAGACATCTCAATGGTTTGTTGACACTGGGGAAACCTGTGCCATTTTGATAACTATAATTTATACTGAGCCATTATGACAAGGTAAATATAATTTTCTGTGGGGAAGTCACTTGTGGCTCCCTGAAGCTACCATCTCTGATGTAGGTGCTGTCAGTCACAGTTTTCTGACCCACTGGGAACCCACAGCCAGACTGGTCCCACCACAAAGACACAGGGAGCCGAGGCACTTACATATCAAGTTATTCATTCATGCCATCACCGAGGAAGGCACCCAGAAAGTCAGCTAGTCAAAACAAACCACAGCTGGCTGCCTAAGAGACCTGCAGACTAGAAAATGGTCAAAGAATTTCCCAAACAATGTAAACAAATAGCCTGCTCGTTTACTCCACCCTTCCCCACCTTTGGGAAGAGGAAGGGGGCAGACCACGGCTCACAGGCCACTCCACGATCAGTTCTCCTCTGATGTTGTTCTGCCACTGCTGAGTGTTTTTCTTGGGGTAGGTCTCTTGTTTTGGTGGCTGTTACTTGCACATTTGTGTTCATGGGTCAGGAGTTTAATCTTTATGAAATTGCAATTTAATGCAGTTGGAGCTACACATGTCAGGGTTCCTTTCCCTGAGTGGCGCTCCCTAGTGCTTCCATTGCATTACCAAGGTTTTCTTCCTGCTTCTTTAGAAGTCCACCTCGCTGGTGGAGGCCGTCGCCTTGGGATATGCCTGAGGTTTTTAGCTTCTGTCTTTTCCCTGGTTGGAGCATCTTATCTGCTGGGATGCACCGAGCGTCACGTGAACTGTACTTTAGTGTGCCAAGGTATTTTTCCCAGCCATCATAGATAGTTTGGGTTAATTTACAAAGCACTTTTTGAGAGTACTGGCATAGTGAACAAGTGCCTAGGTGTCCTGTCTGGAGTGCAACCTTCAGGCCCTGGCAATCCCCTGTGGACTCGATAGCCTTTGAGATTTCCCCAAGCCCACTCTTGCTACATGCGAGTTTGGAGGATGCACATCATTAGTGCTATGTGGTGATGTTCATTCGTTCTGCCTTCACCATGCTGCCTGTTGGGTCTGTGACATCTTCAGACCCAAGTCGTGCGGGGAGTGTTCCCATCACGTTACTCTCCTCACAAGCCCTCCTGATGATGCTCTAGTTTATCAGGCAGCGACCACTCTTCGCTTGAGGTTTTCTGTGTTATAGTGGTCTTGGTCTTTGGTCTAAGACTAAGGCTGATTCTCAATCTTCTGCAGTTGGTTCGGTTTATTCCTTGCCCCTCTTTCTGGAGGACCATCGAGTCCTAGGTCTGACTCGGTCTCAAGTTGGGTGCTTGGATGATTTCCCTGGATCTCCAGGATGCTTCTTTGCACATACAGTACATCTGAGGTTCAGGGACTGGTAAAGGATTGCAGTGGGGTATCAAGCTCACTGCTTCTGGGTCCTCCTGTTTGGCCTGAATCTGGCTCGGCACATTTTCCTGTGCTTGGCTCAGGTCACGGTGACCCGTCTCCATCTCTTGAGTGTTGGGTTTTTGCCTACCTACCTACCTCGACGACTGGCTTATTTGGCCTCCCAGACAGTCTGAGTTAGCTTTGGCAGGGTTAAGCAGAGTTAGCAGGGTTAGCTTTGGTCCCTACCTCTTTGGAGCTGGACACTGTGTGTGTGTGTGGCTCTTCTTCTGGGTCCTCGGGATTTGGCTCTTCATGCTGTTCATATCCTGGGTCCACCTACCTTACCTTGTGTAGCTTCCGGGAATCAAGAGCTCCATGGTCGGGTCTCCGAACAGCCTCCCGGTTGGTCATCTGGTCAACCAAGTTGTTGGACAGGGGGACTGCTTGCAGCCTAACATATGAATCACTGCCTGGTTGATCAGGTATTCTTTGGAGGTGTTTGTCGAGTTCTCTCCTGAACAGTGAGAGGCCGGCCAGTTATGCTCCTTGTATATAGTGGGAATGTTGAAAAATCCTGGGCTCTTGATGTTGATAGTTCTCCCTTAGTATATACCTATTGCACCTCTGCTTTTCAATGGGGGGTATTCTGCACATCCTGCCATGCCTACTGGTCTCATGTGATGGTCTCATCACACGAGACCATCACATTCTGTGTTCAGATTTGGAACCAGCCCCTCTAATATCTTCCACATGTAGATTATTATGAATCTCTCTCTCTCTCCTGCACTCTAGAGAATACAGATTTAGAACTTTTAATCAGTCCCAATAGTTAAGATCACTTTTAGAATCAATTCTAGAATGTGTCCAATATTCTTGTCGACAGTCTGACTGGGTTCTGTCCAGTCTCCACAGAGTGGACCATCGATGTCACCACCTTCCTTTGGCTCTGCGAGACATTCGTGTGCCCTAATGTGAACCTCTTTGAGTCGACTTGGTCTCGGTGTCGCCAATTCCCTGACTGACTGCGTGGCCCATGTGGTAGATACCTTTCAGCAGGACTGGTCGAGGTGAGGGTGTTTAACACTTTTTCCCCAGTCTAGCTGTTGCTCTGGGTCCTGGTGCAGTTGGAGTCCTATGAGAAGGTGATCCTTCTGGCTCCTTGATAGCTGGCCCAGCTGTGATTTCTGGCGCTGCTTGCCAGATGTCCAAACTCCCATTATATTTCCACGACTCTGCCTCTCCCAGAGTGTCAGTCCGGCAAAGGGGGCCCGACAGCTGAGTGGACAGTGCTCGGGATTCGTAGTCCCAAGGTTCTGGGTTCGATCCCCGGTGAAGGCGGAAACAAATAGGCAAGGTTTCTTTCACCCTGATGCACTGTTCACCTAGCAGTAAATAGGTACCTGGGAGTTAGACAGCTGCTATGGGCTGTTTCCTGGGGGTGTGGAAAGAGAAAACAAACAAGACAAAAAAGAGACCGGGTCGAGGACTGGGCCGCGGAGACGCTAAGCCCCGAAATCACCTCAAGATAACAAACTTTGCTGGCGTGAATCTTTCCTCTGCTCTTTATGTCTGGAGTTTCTGATGTGGGTGTATTGCTTTTTTTATGGCGTTCAAGTGGCTGGAGCGTTGGTGTTTCCCCTGTGGGTTTCCTTGCAGCAGCAGTATAGGGTATCCTCCCCCTAAACAAGGGGGAGGGGGAGGCAAACAAGCGGGCACTAGTTTTATAACATTTTCGATCATTTATTTGCATAGTTTGGGGATTTCTATGGGTGTTTTCTTGGAGGCAGCCAGCTGTGGTTTGTTTTGACTCACTGACTTTCCAGGTGCCATCCTCGTTAGTGGCATGAATGAATAACTTAATACAAAAATGCCATGGCACCCTGTGCCTCTATGAGCCGGTCGGCCGAGCGGACAGCACACTGGACTTCTGATCCTGTGGTCCTTGGTTTGATCCCAGGCACCGGCGAGAAACAATGGGCAAAGTTTCTTTCACCCTATGCCCGTTACCTAGCAGTAAAATAGGTACCTGGGTGTTAGTCAGCTGTCACGGGCTGCTTCCTGGGGGTGGAGGCCTGGTCGACGACCGGGCCGCGGGGACACTAAAGCCCCGAAATCATCTCAAGATAATCTCAAGATATGAAGGGACCAGGTTCTGGCTCTGGGACCCTGGTAGGCTTGAGAAGTCTGTGACTGATGGCACCTACAGAGATATTAGCTTCAGGAAGCCACCAGGGCTCACCCAGAAATTGGCATTTCATTACATTCAACGCTTATTTTTTTCACTCCTCACTAAGGCATAAAAAATGCACTTGGAAACTAGCATTTGTTTAGCCAACCATTTACCCATGTTTCTCATATTCGATGCACTTTTTCTTTCACGAATGACAAGTGACAATGTACCATAGTGTTGTATAATAACAGTTTTACTGTTTTGTGCAGAATATTTTTTAAGATATACTCCCTTACAAGCTAATGGCAACTGGCTCCAAAAGCAGATGACAACAGGTGGTTCTTAAAGGGTGGTTCAGACCCCAGGCTACACGAAAATGAAATCGCTACCGAGCTTGCCACTAAACCACTTTTCCTGGAGGAGCAGAAAAGTGGTTGCCATAAGCTAGCTCACTGAGATAACCCCCTACTAAGTCAAATCACCTTAATTAAGGAGTCCTGTGTGGCCTACTGGGGACTAGAGCCAGAACCTGGCCCCCCTTCTCAAGGTATATGGAGCAGGGTAATGTTACAATCACCCTCACTGAGCAAACATCCACAAAGTAAATGAAGCAATACTGCAAGGATCGTAGAGAGTCAAATGACTCTGCAAATGATTCATTGAGAGACTAGGTTAAATCCCCCCCTCCCTTCCCTAGTTATGGCTCACCACCAACAGCAGCACCACCACTGGCAGCTACTGGCCTCCATGATATCTCAGCTTTAGTCCTCTTACTTTAGTATTTCAAAATTCTTTGGTGATTCTTTTATTGGCTATACACATGATGAAATGGTACACAACTGGCAACATTTATGACTTGGCTTTTAGTTATCTTTGACCTAGTTTCGTATTCCATGGCTTAATAGAAATAGCTGCTCTTTTCACTATTATAAATATTAAGAAGATGGACAAAACCACTAATCAAATACCTTAAGTGATTACGCTTACTGATTGTACACATGATATTATTGTCTAGGGAACACGTAGGGCCAGAGTATTCAGTTTCCTGGACCATAATTTCTTTCATATAATGCAGACACAAAAAGATGCATTTTTACAATGAATTTGGTTTTCAAAGTTTTAATGGTATAGCCGGAAAGAGTAGGTTTTTCTTAATTGAAGATGACACGGCAAAAGATGTAAGCAGGGACCAATACCTGGTTGATGGGGTTCTGGGAGTTCTTCTACTCCCCAAGCCCGGCCCGAGGCCAGGCTTGACTTGTGAGAGTTTGGTCCACCAGGCTGTTGCTTGGAGCGGCCCGCAGGCCCACATACCCACCACAGCCCGGTTGGTCCGGCACTCCTTGGAGGAATAAATCTAGTTTCCTCTTGAAAATGTCCACGGTTGTTCCGGCAATATTTCTTATGCTTGCTGGGAGGACGTTGAACAACCGCAGACCTCTGATGTTTATACAGTGTTCTCTGATTGTGCCTATGGCACAATCAGAGAATGGTACACTGTTACACTGGTACAATGGTACACTGTTTTGAGTGTAATGGAATTGACACATCCTGTGAAAAAAAAGAGAATCTGCAGAAGCACGATCCAATCAGCTGCCAACTCCTAAATGGTTAAAATAGCATGTTACTATGTTGAAGATTAGTGGCCCTACCCATAGAACTGAACCTTGAAGAGTCTGCAAGGTAAACCACTGGGACACGCAAGGCAAGGTCCTGGAACTACCAAAATACCCATCACAGCAGGAAGCATTAGATCACCTTCAGCCAAAGAAGACACAGAGGGTAAACCACGCAGCATAGTTCAAGCAACTATGCATATGCTAAGAGGACAACTGGCACCTGATGATCATACAAAGCAATCTTCAGAGGGAAAAATGGAGACCAACTTTAATCTGAAGCCTACCCAAGCAATTGATGGTGCTCTGTGGTTATCTTGAGATGATTTCGGGGCATTTTAGTGTCCCCGCGACCCGGTCCTCGATCAGGCCTCCACGCCCAGGAAGCAGCCCGTGACAGCTGACTAACACCCAGGTACCTATTTTACTGCTTGGTAACAGGGGCATAGGGCGAAAGAAACTCTGCCCATTGTTTCTTGCCGGCGCCCGGGATCGAACCTGGGACCACAGGATCACAATTCCAGCTTGCTGTCCGCTCGGCCGACCGGCTCCAACGTGGGTGGGTGTAAACAAGCTTCTCCCAAATAAAGGAAGGCAGGGTAAATCTCCATATCTTGGTGCCATACCTTAAGAAAAGTGGTCCTCAAAACCCCTGCCAATCACGTTGGAGTGACCAATCATGTTAGTGACACCAACATGACTAACACCCAAAGGTGATTTGGGAAAACAATCGTGGAATGAAGCTGGGGTAGTGGACAAGGAAGTCAGAGAAATCCCCAATCACCAGGTAAAACCAGAAAAAGGAGCAACATCCCAGCACCATTTCAAGCACAAGCAGAGGAGGACATAAGACTCAACATCTAGACATAGGACGGCCTAGAAACATTCAACCCCAGTGTGGGAAGTAGGCTTAGCCAGGATTGCAGTGCACCATTACCAAGTAAAAAAAAAAAAAAGAAAAAAATGTGGGTTTAAAAGTTATTGAACCAGCAAGGGTGCCTGCCAAACATAGAAGCACACCCCACAATAAACTGCACAACATAGAATTGGGCTCCATACCAGGCCAGATTTCCAAAGTCCTGACAGACAGAGACAACTAGATAAATAACTTCCCTGACACACAATCAAATCAACCAAACCCTGAGCAATACCCCCATAGTGGAAGGTCAGCCACAAGAAAAATGTATTTGTTATTTGCTCATAACCACATACAAGACATTGAAAGGCAAGAGTAGTCATGAAATAAACCAAAACCAAAAAACGAAGCTGGAGCAAACTCCAAAGTTCACAGACCCAAAACAATCGGGCATCATGCCATTGAAGCAAATATTAAATCATGTAACCCCTTGTGCAGACTCAATCTTAGAGGATGACCAAGCAACTTGACTGAATCAGCCACAGCAGAGCATCTTGGGTCACATGGTGGGTGCTGGGCATCAAGTGATTCTGACCCAGTAGTAATACTGGGTCAGAATCTGGGTTAACCCAGAATACTGGGATACTGACCCAGTAACAGCACCAGTAGCTGGTGCTGTTACATGATGCTGGTCAGAGTAGGCAGGCATTCCTAGGTAGATAGTTTCATAATGATTATTAGTTATCTCTCAGAGGTCTCAATCATTCAAAGTGGGTGAGGAATGGTGTGCTATATTCTTTGGTATCACAACAAGACATATTTTCTTAGTGGAGAATTGTTTCTCGACACCGAACAAGGAAGACAAGACCATTCAAAAAAAGATACTTGGTTTGGTGGACCACAAAATCATTCAGGGCCTAACGTATTAGCAATGACACGGGTGGATCTATGCCTTTAGCTCAAGGAAGCAACCGAGGGTACCTTGCTCAGAAATAATATTGGAATTTGGATAAAATAACATCATTCCCAACAAAAACCATCTGCTTTAATTTTTTACTCACAAAATTTGTGCCTACAACTGTCGAGTCCAATACCCAGGATGATATAATTGTTAAAACCTATTATGGTTAAGTATGTAAATTCCTAACTTGCAGTGTTTGTCCACAATACTGGAGGGACCTATTGCTACTTCTTCAACGTGAGAAAGTGTCACCAGATCATTAAAGCCTAGTGCTTTAATACATATCCTTTTAAAACTTCAAGTTTAGCTTTCAGCTTCAAAATTGCAAAAACTCACAAATATAAGCTGGAGTGTAGAGTTACCCTTGCCAGAATGCTGGAGCAGCCTCAAGACCTATACAAAACAGTAGTATCAAGGCACATGGTAAGCCAGTTGCAAGGAACTGAAGATCAAAGTTACTTATACACAGTATGATGTTCTAACCTAAGATAGACATTTCGGTGAAGCCGCCCACTAGCAAAGGTAAAGACGTAAGTAAAGGATATGGAAATTATTATTGGTAGTAACTCTAAAAGTAACCACCGCATTAATGAAACTTCAAGACAAATAATGTATTGAGAAAGATAGCTAGACTTATAAACATAAATCCAAAGTCACAATTCGTTAGCTATACATTGCATTCGTACAACCACACCTGGTATATGGAGTGTAGTTCTGGTCACCATACCTGAGAAAAAGACATTCAAAGGTTAGACAGAATACAAAAGAGAACAGCCACACTTATTTCAAGTTTGTGAAATAAGTCATATGAGGATAGATTGTAAGGATTTTAAAAATGTACTCTTGGGGGAAAACCCCATAGACAAATACAATTGGGGGCATGATGAATGTTAAATGAGGCAAAATGTATATAGATCACTTCTTTAATTTGAAAATACTAATGAGAAAATTAGTATGTAGGCCTTTGAAAATAAAGGAAGTATTTATCTACAAGAATGAATTATGTAACACAATTACAGTACTGTATATGCTTTCTAGCCAGGTAGATAATAGCAAGTCATAATATATATATTTAACAACACAGATGAAGTTCACATTGCTGAGGTAATAAATAGTTAGCATAGCTTAATAAATCTAATAAATCCTCCTGTATGTACTTTGTAAGCATACATACAAATTATTTCTTCACAGAATCCTCAAACTATTCACGTTCTTTCAATATTTCAGGTAAAATGTGAGCTGCCGATCTGAAAAAATAAAATTACTGCATCTAATTCTTTTTCACTAGAGTTCACTTCACTTTGATGAACAGGCCTATTGCTGTTCAACTTCCATTGTGCTCCTGTGTTGCCATCTTCTGCACCTCACTCTTCATATCAGGATCAATAGCAAACATTTTCCATCTCTATGAAGCCACCAAGAGGAGTAACATTCCAGTCACCTGGGGCCAGATTCACGAAAGAACTTACGCAAGCACTTACGAACGTGTACATCTTTCCTCAATCTTTGACGACTTTGGTTACATTTATTAAACAGTTTGCAAGCATGAAAACTTCCCATTCAACTGTTGTTATTGTTATAAACAGCCTTCTAGTGCTTCGGAGCTCATCAGCTGTTTAATAATTGGAAACAAAGCTGCCAAAGATTGAGAAAAGATGTACAGGTTCGTAAGTGCTTGCGTAAGTGCTTTCGTGAATCTGGCCCCTGGGCTCTAGGAGACTCAAACCGTGGACCCCACGTGTGTGAGGCCCAAGCTCTGTCGACCGAGCTACTGAGTAGTCTTAATAACCTTAATAGGGGTAACCTTGATAAATTTAAGGCACTGTCCCTGATATCAAAACCAGATTGCTTGCTTCTTACTTTATCTTGAAGATGTATTTCATTAGCCTTTCACACTTAAAGGAGGTCCTCAAAATATGAAGCAACCATCAAGATAGAATCATAAGGAGGAGTGCACTAGAGGCTTTAACCTCTCCTGGACTAATGTACCGGAAGGCAGCATCATGAGGGGGGGGGGGTGGAGTGCCCTGGAGGTTTAACCTCTCCTGGACTAATGTACCACAAGGCAGCATCATGAGAGAGAGTACCCTGGAGGTTAACCTCTCCTGGACTAATGTACCACAAGGCAGCATCATGAGAGAGAGTACCCTGGAGGTTTAACCTCTCCTGGACTAATGTACCACAAGGCAGCATCATGAGAGAGAGTACCCTGGAGGTTAACCTCTCCTGGACTAATGTACCACAAGGCAGCATCATGAGAGAGAGTGCCCTGGAGGTTTAACCTCCCCTGGACTAATGTACCACAAGGCAGCATCATGAGTGCACTAGAGGCTTTAACCTCTCCACTAAGTCACCATAAGTCAAACCAAGTGGTAGGAAATGAAATAAATGTTAAGGTGAATGTACACCTCAAGTAAGCAATAGCCTTACTTGGACTATTTTGATGAATTTGACTATTAGCACAAGGAATCTGCATTGTTTCACATAGATCTAACTGGGAATATAAGTATGTAGACATATACAAAAAGAATCTATCCTAGTACTCTTGAAAACATAGCCTATTCCCCCACACTGATAGTACCTTGGTCTATCCCCTCCCCCCCAAATACTATACTGTACTTTTAATGAAGTTCCGAAGATATATAATTCAAGTTTAACCCATTTGCAATAAGGATTGTAATAATTGTTTCTTCAGTGTATATATACTATGGGGATCATATTACATTTCTTCCACACGACGAGCAGGATATGTGAGTGGAGTTAAGCACATCACACCTGCCGTCAACAGATAACTTGACAGCACCGTTCTTGTGTCAGGTAAGTCCACTACAGGCTCACCATAGCCTGTGCTACTTGCCCCACTCCTGTGCCAGGTAAGTTACGGGCTCACCATAGCCCGTGCTACTTGCCCCGCTCCTGTGCCAGGTAAGTTATGGGCTCACCATATCCCGTGCTACTTGCCCCGCTCCTGTGCCAGGTACGTTACGGGCTCACCATAGCCCGTGCTACTTGGAACTTGTTCCGAGTAGCTGAATCCATAACAACAACAACAACAACAACAACAGATAACTTGACCCTGAGCTGTGGCACCATTTCATCAGCCCTACTAGTATCACCATCAAAAGTCAAAATGCAACAAAGTCTAATTTAAAAACTACATTTTCCTTCTTTTTCCAGATGTGCCATTAAAAACTAATTAGCAGCAAAAAATGGCTTAGCAAATTTTAAGTAGAAAAAATGGAGAACGTGACCTAAACCAGGGTGTGATTTTATACACCATAGTATATTTATAAATACTGTACAATCAATAACCAAAGACTTTTGTGGAAAGAGTATTTTTTATTGATCTATTTAATAATTATTATGTTTATAATAATAGATGTGCTTTTCATTTAATTGTAAAAATCCTTAAAAAGGGTTTTGAAAGATGGTAAAAAAAAATTGTCATTATATAATACAGTACAAATAACGACTAGAGCCGATATCCGGCTGTGCGGGTCTTGTAAACACAGTGTATGGAATAACCTCATTATACAATTCAATCCTTAACTGTATGCCTTTGTGCAACCAGCAGTGATTGGGTACCTGGTTGTTAAATGACTGGCGGGTCGTATTCCAGGGAAACTAGTGGGTAAGGCTTACCACGAGCTATGGGAAGGGAAAGCTCTCAGCCTGCTAACAGGAGTCAGCAGTCGTCTCTTCCTGTACTCATCCAAGAAGAAAAAAGTTAGGAAAAGAGGTAGGAATAGGTAAACATCAGTGGCAGCTGGACATGCAATTGAGTCAAAGTGATATAAGAAAGTTCTCATTCCTTGTATGGGTAGTTGGCAGGCATAATGCAAGTTGTTGAAGCTAGGTATGAATGCCTAGGAGGTAGGGTATAAAGCTAGTAAAGCTAGATCTCCCCCTCCCCCTATTGTCACTGATAGGTAGATGGTTGGAACAAGTTAAGTGAGTAGGTGGTAGTGGCCCAAAACCATCAGTAGTTTCAAAGTGTTATATGACAAAGAGTGCTGGGAATGGCACTCCAGTTATAGCAATAGTTACCACGAGCGTAACTCTCACCCTGTAACTACACTCAAGTCTAGGCACATCCGATTCCTTGGTCGTAATGCCCCTCAATCAACAACACAACATCCTGTAACTACACTTAGGTAATTACTTTGACATGACCTTAGCTGGATGATAAGCAAAACACTGATAGTCATATACAGTACACACATTTTGTAAAAGTTTTCAATAAGTGTGACCATGATGTTACTACACACAAGCAGACAATAGCATAGCTGAAAATTAGACGCCTAACCCACAAATCTGAAAATAAAATATCTGATGATGTTTTGGTCCATTCAGGACCATTTCAAATAATGTAATTGTAAAAAAAAAAAAAAAAAAAAAATATGGTGGAGGAAGTCAATTTATAAGGTAAAAGGACCGAGATGAAGGTTAGAGAGTAAGATGATAGGCAAGATCGTTGAAGAAAAGGAGTATGGTAAGAAACATAAGTACAGATATAGGAAAGGTTTGATGTATGGACTTAAGGTAAAGTACAGGGATAGGTTTGAAGTATGATAATGTGTTGAAATAAGGTATGGAACAAACTAGAAATATAAGAAAAAGGTAAAAATCTTACAAAAACATAGAATTAAGGAATAAACCTGCAAAAACCCCAATGCCTCATATCAAATCCTAACTAAACCCTGAACCTCGAATAGATAGGATGTGCCAATAAGCGTCCCGGAGGTCCAAGAATGCCATCCAAGTGACTGGCTCGAGAGCAAGATGTACCTGGGACAAGGTGGTCATCCAGAAAAGGGGGCGAATAATCTACGTCAACTGCAGGAGACTGAGAATGAACCAGAGATCCAGAGAAACCGAAGGCCAAAAACAAACGGACTTGTATAGGATGAGGGCCACCACAAGCGAGGAAGTCCTCTAATGGAGCAAACCTCAGATGTTCTATGGAAGAGAACCCTGACAGTACTAGGGAGCACACAGGGAAGAAAACCCTGTGCACTTGCAGCTCCAAGCATCCTGTACTCCTGCCTCAGCAGCACAAACGTGCATAGGAATAACCACAAAAGCAAAAAACCACCACTTAGCTGAAGCAGAACATTCTAGCTCCAAAGAGGAGCTAGGGCAAAGGAGAGGGCACCACTGCCTACCATCAGCAAGAACTGAGGGTGGAGCAACCAGCTGACCCAATCCCCCTCCCTACTCCCCCCAAACAAGGGGGAAAGGCGAGATGAACAAGCTGGCACTAATTTCATATTTTATTTTTAATTATTTGTTTACATTTTGGGGAGTTCTTTTAACACTTTTGAGGTCTTAAAAATGTTATAGCCAGCAGTGATCTGTTTTGTTTTGCTGACTTTGTGGATGCTTCCCCAGTGATGGTGGACATGATCAAAATTCACTGAGAATTTTATCATAGCTCTCTGGACATCAGTAAAGAGGAAACCGGGTTATGGTTCGTGGTCCCCGGAAGGGGACCACTTCCCCTCATTTCACCATAGAAATGGTGCACACCAGAGGAGGGGCATTACTGGAAGGGAGGAACAAAGGCAATGGGACCATCTATATCATGGTCAGATGCTCCACTATGGAGATGGGAGGAGTAATGGAGGGTCAAGGAGGAGGAGGTAAGGACCAATGCCTTCTTACCTGCTGGGGAGTGATAGGGGGAGAAACCAGGTTTTTATTTCTGACTGACACAGAACAGAGAAT